CACACACACACACACACACACACACACACACACACACACACACACACACACACATATATCACAGGTACAATTTAGGATCGCAGGTTTGAAAATGTAGCCCCTTAATCTGTTCTTGTTTTATTGTAAAAATCTCCAGGATGACCTTTTTTAAATTAATGTTTTTATGTAAATAAAACATTCTCACATATATATAAATGCATATTATGTAAGGCCCTCGTCCTGTGATGTGCTGACTTCATTGGGACTCGGGGGTACTCAGCACCTTGCAGGATGGATCCCCAAATATATAATAGTTGTCATGGCTCCAGGGCTTAGTCCCTAAAGGCTGATGAGATTTTTTTCAATGAGTGAGGACTACAGGATGAGGATTAAATTTCTGTTATCTCTACATTCTGACCTATCAGCTTCTACCACTTACTTACCCGGCCCCCATTACTTCTGGAGAAGCACACCGATTCACCATACCCCAGGCAGCCCTTCCTGTGACCAGGCAAGAGAGATGACGCAGAGACTCCATGAAATACACAAGAGACCTTGCTATGCCAAGCCATTAGTCTGGGAGATGCTCAGACACCCAGGTGATGGGCATCAGTACAAATCCCATAGAACGGCAGACAGCGTTTCTTACTGAGACCATAAACCATAATGGCTCCGCTTGCCATCTAACTACGCCCCGCTCGCTGCAGTATTATATGGCTTTTCAGTAATGCCCTATTTTATTGTGCACTGGCGCCAAGCGACTGCTGCTTTTACGTAACTACATTTGGGGCCAGATTCTCTTCTTGGTTACTCGTGTGCTCACTTACTGGAGTCCCTCTTTGCATGGGCGTAAATCAGAATTTACCCCCATGTTTTACTTGGTAAATGCTCTTTACCTATTTAGCAGTGACTTGTTCCTATAGATTGCTGAATAGTGGACCCCGTGTAAACAGGACATCCAGCCGCTGATTTTTCAGCATGTTCCCAGTGCTGAGGCTTTCTGGTGAGCAGCATCCTTGATAATTACACTCAAGAGATCCCAGAGGGATTCCTAGGTAACCGCACTACAGTTTCCATGGCAGAGATAACAAAGGTCGGACTCTGTGATAACAAATAACAATGGATTGTTAATATTTTAATTAACAATGCTGTGGTTTTATTTGTGAGGTACACCTCCCCGCCCCCCCCCATATTCCCAGTCAGACCCTTGGGTTGCTGTACAACAGTTAGAAACAAACAGGATAACGAGACAGAAATGATGGTGCTTCGATACTGCAGTGATGACATTATTAATACACAGATACTAGAGACAGCTTGGAAGCTCCATTCAAAACATAAAGCTTACCAAAATATTTATGATTAATTGTGATTTCATAGCAGGGGGCCATTTTATTTCTCGCCGAGCCCCCCTCTTGATCCACAGCCGCAGTGCCTGGGAAGTTGTGAGTTTAAAAGCCAAGGCCCTGATTGTCACTAAGGCCACTTACACCTCTCTGGCAGTAATAGAATTTACCCCTCCTTCCACTGCCAGGGAGAAGCAAAGAGGTCTTCGGATAAATGAGGATCAGGCCCTCGAGCCGTTCAGCTACCTCACCTTCTTGCTGAAATTTACCATCCCCAGCGTGGAAAGGCGAGGGAGTGAAAGGAGGCTCAATATAATAATTCCCTTCTGAGGATGTGGTCAGCCGGCTATTCACCCTGCATGTAGTTACACTGCTACTTCATGGTAGAGCGGAGTCTGAAAATCTGTGCATTGATGCTGGGCTGTGGAGTGAAATTTTGAAACCGTGCCCTGACTTTACAAGGGATATGGACTGGAAATTATAAACAACCCCTTGCAGTTCCTGGCGTCACTGCCTAGAACCAGCACATCTCTCTCTACCGTTCTGCACAGTGGCTCTTTATAGGTGCTGTGATAAAGTACTATGCCCTCAAATGACATGCGAGTCCTAGCTGCAAAACAGCTCAGGCTCTGGAGTCCCATCCCCCCAAAGTCTGCAGGCGTATCAGTCCCAAGTTTGTATTTGGGCTTCTCTCTCAATCGAATGATCCGTTACCGCATAGCTAAAGTGCGGCAAGACTTAAATGAAATGCCACTGAATGGCTAGAGCTGCGTGTGGCGTCTCAAATCACAAGGCCTCAAGGTAAAAGGGATTTTTGCTTTTGTCTCAATGTAGGTTTCCCTTGTTAAAGGTCCAGCATGGTCGACAGTGCAGTGAAGTCACTTCATCTGCTGGTTCTAAAACGTTGCCGTTCACGGGAGTTTACTAACCTGTTGCCAGCTTGAGGACAGGCCTGAATTTCCCCCAGGGCTCACTCACCTCAGAGTGTTTCATCTTCCTCCAGGGCACCAAAGAGAAATCAGGCAAAGATGGCACATATCCCAGGACAGTCAGCTTCCTGCGATCGCAGGGGATGGGACGGGGATGAGTAGATCTTTGGTGGAGGTTAAAGCACAAAGCTGTCGAATCAGAAGCTCAGGCATAACCAGCATTGAAAAGTTTATAATTGGAGCTGAAGCAAAAGCCTGAAAGGTCACAAAGCTTTTGATTAGATTAGCCAGCATATTATCAGAAATCTGGCCCCTCTGCTAAGACATTCCAACGCCTTTACAATGGGTGGCCCATTCCCAGCTGAGAGATCACTACATAGATAGTCCTCTTTGGAGTTAGGTCCGGAGGAGTAGAGAAAGGGCAAATGTGAAAAGCAAAGAGAAGCTGTAGGCTGAAAGGATGTCAGACATCGGCTGCCCCCTTTGCAAGGAATCCCCAAAGACAACTGCACGTGCAGAGGTGATTTTTAAATCCACAAGCTCACAGACCTCTCACGGGCATGACTTAGGTATCCCAGTGCACATGTTAAGGACCTAATCCTGCAGCCCTTACTCGGGTAACATTCCAATCAGCTTTCCTTTGAACTCCATGATTTCCATGGGAGTTTGGTCCCAGGAAGGACTGCAGAGTTACGTTTTCTCGCATTTAAGAGGGGAAAGCTCTAGTGACCAGAGAATTAAGAAATGCTTAGGCTAGCCACATCCGGTCCTGTTCTACAACTCTGTTCAGCGATGAGAAAGAAGCACACAGAGGGTATCACATGCCATCTGCCTGAGCAGCATTCAGGCTGGCTGGCATGTACGTTTGCCTCCTGTATGTGGTTGATTTGACCTACTAGACCGAGCACAGGAATAGGAAAAAAGGCAGAAACACTGTCACTTGGGACATTTAAATGGAGACTGGACCAAAGGCTAGAGAACGTACACTGAGAGAGAATCCTGCACTGGCTGATGGGTGGCTGAGACCCAGTGGGTTTTTGCATCACTGCGCTGCCCTGCCAGCAGAAACAACCAGATTGATAACCATCAGCAACCTATTATCCTATTGATCCTAGGGGAAAGCACATGAAACCCAATAATCTTTTGAAATGGAGCTGGTACAGTGAATAACAATCTGCATCACAGTATTTAGCCTCGCTCCAACTTGGCAGCAAGCAGGGAAGGAATTCGGCACCCAAAAGGGTTGGCTTAGCACAGGCAAAGAGATTTGCACAAACCAGTCCAGAGCAGCTACCTGGCTGCCAGGAGGCTCCCTCAGAAATCCTTCCATTTGGTTGGCTTCCTTTGACCTCGTTGCTACGCAACAGCATATGCCTTTCCAGCAAGCTTCAGCTTCTCAAAGGCAGAGCCCCGTCCTCCCCGCCTTGGGCCCCCACCTCCCCAAATGTGAAATGAATCAAGCAGCTCTGGAGGAGAAATGATCTCTGTCTCGCAAGGAGGTTTTTAAATAGATCTGCTGTGGTATAAAGACTGGCTTCATGAGGGCATCCACCCCTGCCTTGTTACAACCGGAATGAGCCTTTTACAATGAAGAAGGGAGGGGAGGAGGGAGAAGCAGGGAACTAATTGCTCCATTTCATGAAATAAACAAATCTATATAATTAAAATGACTATGAATGGGAGCCGTTCAGGGCCTCTGGCTTTCCTACTGTGTATCCCATTCCCTGTGCTACCCAACTGCAGCATCTTAGACAAAGGTGCCGGCTATTCCATCCAGTGCTCGCCACCTCCCATTCATTTTTGCACTCTAGCCTGACCAGTACTTGGATTCTTCCGAACCATGTTGGTAGAGGCAAGCAGCAGTCCCACTCAGAGGCTTAGCATTAAAGGAGGGAGCAGCAGCCTAGCGTGCCAAGCACAGAAGACTGATGTCCAAGCACTGGCCCATCTCTAGGGTGTATTGCCCCCTGCACGGGAGCTCACACTTATTAGACAACCGACTCTCTGAAGAGACCACCCCAAAGTGTCCCAAAACATAGCGAGTACAATTCTGCGCCATCTTTTTTAGATCGTCACCTCAGATAGGCACCTGGTTTTAGCTGGTCCCTTAAGGCAGGATTCACCATGTACATGACAGGAGGGAATCCAAGCTCAGGTGCTGTCCTCACTTACTGATCCACCAGATATAAGCTTCCTCAGTCAACCTCCCGTCATGGTCACAACTTGGCTCCAATTCACTGGATTGCTCCAACGCCCCCCTTTGAGAACCAAATGAGGTGTCTCATACTCTATCTTTAGTCCATCAGCTTTGTCCTCACTGCACAGTAACAAGGATTGGACTGCCGGGGGCTGCATCTGGCCCTTGGGGTGCACATAGCGTGCCCCTAACTGAACAGAATTGGTTTATTTCACGAAGAAGACAACAACGAGCTCTTCTGAGGTCTCAGAAGCTACCGTTGCACTGAATTGTACACGGACAAAAGCCAGGTGGGGGTAGAGCTCCTATGGTTAAAACAAAGTCCTAGGAGTCAGGACATCTGGGGTCATTTCCTGGCTCTGCCACAAAACCTGCTGTGTGTCTCTGTTTCCTCACGTGTAGAATCCTTACCTGCCTCAAAAAGGTGACAGTGAAGCAAAATTCACTAACGGTTGCAAAGTGCTTTGCAATTATTGGATGAAAGGTGCTACCTAAGTGCAAAGTACTATTTACTCCTCCCTCAACCTGTTTTGTCTCATGCTTAGAGGTGCCCACAGCTTCAGTGGAAGTTACAGGTGCTCTGCACCTCAGCAAACCATGCCCTGCCGGGTTACGGTATAATTACAGATTCTGACCCTTCCTACCAACAGTTGGCTAACCACCAAATTTCGACATGCTTTGTAACTTCTTTCCTTCTCTTTCTCTGTTCCAGGGCTCGGCTCCCATTCTGGTAGTCATGGTGATCTTACTGAACATTGGCGTCGCCATTTTGTTTATTAACTTTTTCATCTAACTCAAGACTGTCTTGTTTGCAAAAATAAGAGTTACGTGTATGAACGGGGGGAAAAAACCAAACAAAAACAAATCAAAAAAAGGGAAAGATCATAACTTGAACTGTCCTATGACAACTTCCAAGTCTTTTCACAGAACAACAACAAATGATTGAGTCTCACTCACAGTTTGCCTTTTTTTCCTGGGTAATGTTTTTTGGATTTTAGCCAAAATTCTTCGCTTGTACAACACTATGCTGTGTGGCATGGCAGAATGCTAACAACTCTCTGATCCTCCCAGCACCAGAAAGGATGAGACAGGATCCCAGCAAAATAAGAGTCAGTTATTTTTTCCCCTCCAAAGTAAACAAACAACAAAAATTGCAAAATGGAGGTAAGAGGGTGGGCAGATGGAACAGGGCACGAAGGGGGGTGAATGAGTGTCTGGTGTAAACACTCAACCTCAGTGTTGTGAAGTTAATGGGGGGGAATCCCCTTTCACCCATCCCCCTCTAACA